CCGCTAGAAAACATAGCGAGCTTACGCCGCGGCTGACGCGGGCCGCCAGCGTGGCATGCCGCGTGACCTCCTGGCGAATTGAGAAAATCACAAAGGGAAAATAATGCAATTTCTGGTCTATGCATGGGAACCCTGCGACAGCCCCGGGACCGTCAAAATACGACTCCGGATGAAAAGCCAGTCCCAGGGAATGGGTCGAGACCTCCAGAGGTTCACGTTGTCTGGGGAAATGAGGAGGTCGGGGGTCTGGGAGGGAGGTGCGAGGTTCCAGGATCGAGGTTCCAGGATCGGGAGAAGAGGTCGCTCACACGCGACCAGAAAATTTAGGGGCGAATATCCGCGCCTTCGGCACGTTTGTGTTGAGTCGCTCATTTCAATTGAATCCTCCAAAGACCTATGTCCCGTCCCGCCGCTGTCCGGGTCGATCCCGTGTCAACCCTATGACAAGCAAGTCGAATCCGCGTCCAATCAACGTCGATCCCGCGCCGAACCCACTTCAGATCCGCGTCGAATCCGCATCGAACCCGCGTCCGGCACACGACAAAACATCAGATTTGAAGACGGACAAGGTCCCTCCTGGAAGATACGACGCAACCTCAGGCGTCAGAGCAAGGCCATGGACACCGAGGCGTAAGGACCCTGTTTCGTTAAGAGCTTGACGGCTGCTGCCGTCACTTGGCTCGCGAGGGAAAGCTTCCACGATCTCCTCCACACTTCCCTGGAAAAAATGCACTGAACGAACATAATGTCTCTGAGGTCCGCGCGGATTTCTCGGATCGGCGTTCGACCTGGCTTTTCACTGACTTTTTCGGCGCTACTATGATTCATCTGGCTTGATCCCCACAGGTCGATGGGAGAAACATTGTCCAGCTCTCAGGGGCACTGGAGCGCGTTTCTTTACCATCGGCGATGACGGGCGTCATGGGGGGGGGGGGCGGGGGGGGCGTATGACGTAACGCCTCCCCGCCACCCGCCGTGCGGCTCCAGCACCACAGCCGCGCCCGCGCGCACGACGACGACGAGCGACGAGCGACGAGCGACGAGCGACGACGACGACGACGACGACGAGGACGAGGACGACGACGACGACGACGACGACGACGACGACGACGACGACGACGCCGACGCCGACGCCGACGCCGACGCCGACGCCGACGACGCCGACGACGACGACGACGACGACGACGACGGCGCAAGCAGCATGTAGGTGGCGATCTGCCCCACAACGCCTGTGTACACCACTGCGCTCGCGAGCACCACGGCGCTAGTGTACATCACAGCGCCCGCGTACACCGCAACAGCCGCGTACAACGCAACGCCAATATACACCACAATGCTTGCGTGAACCACAGCGCCGGTGTACACCGCAGCGAATGTGTACACAGCAGCAGCCATGTGCAACACACCGCCTGTCTACACCTCAGTGCTTACGAGCACCGCAGCGCCTGTGCACACAACGACGCTCGTTTACACCACAGCTTCCGCGTGCTACGCAGCGCTGGTGTAAACCAGAGCGCTTGCGTGCACAGGACAAGTAGAAGAAACATGTGGGTGACGATCTGCTGCGGACAGGTAAACGCCACGCCCGTGAAGTGCCGATAATAGAGCGCGACGTTTTTTCGTCCTCCCTCCTCCACCTCCGCCTCCTTTTCCCCCTCCTCTTCCTCGTCCTCCTCCACTTCCTCCTCGTCCTCCTCCCCCTCCCTTACCCTTCCCCCCTGTCGTGCGGGTCGGCACTGCAGCGCACGTGCGCGGTCTCAGCGAGCATCGCAAAATTGTATATCCACTGGTGCCATGCTGAATGCACGCAGGCATTCTGGTGTACACTGGCGCTGTGATGCACGCGGCTGCAGTCGTGTACGTAAGCGGTGTGGTGTACACAAGCGCTGTGGTGCACGCAGGCACTATGGTACACACAGGCGTTGTGGTGCAAATCGCCACAAACATGCTGTTGCTACCCGTCCTCGGTCTGATTCCTAAGCATTCCCAGACGCCGCCGGCGCGAAACGTGACGTCATCGGCCCCCCCCCCCCCAGATAATTGCCTCATCGGCCCAACAAAAAAACAAGCTCCAGCTGCGTCTGCGCGCACGACGACGATGAGCGACGACCACGAGCGACGAGCGACGACGACGACGACGACGACGACGACGACGGCGACGAACACGACTTCGGGCCAGACTCCTATGCGGATTCCTATGCGGACACCTATGCGGATCACGACGCGCACGGCGGCAGTGCCCGGAACGCACTCGGGGTGGAGCGTTACGTCATAGGACGAGGGGAGGGGGGCCGGGGGCCATGACGCCCGTCATGCCCCAAGCAATAAAGAAACGCGCTCTTGTGGGTAGGGGGCGGGGGAGGGGGTGGGGAAGCAGAGCTTGGATGACCGAAGTTGTTGAATGTTATTGGCCCCCTTTCCCGGGGCATCGATGAGGGGTGCCAGTAAGAAGGGGCTTATCGCATCCTGGCACTGGCACGAGGCACATGCGCGGACGAGGGGGGGGGCCGTGCTGAAGTTCCACTAGCCTTTGAGGGCGTGAATGGTGTAGAGCGGTTCCTCCTCCGTCTTCCCTCTCCCCTCCCCCCTGGACTTGGACGACGGAAGGCAGCGAGGCGTCAAACAGTCCGGAAAAGGCCTCGGCGAAGAGGCCAAAACCTGATAGGAAAAGAACAGGAAGCGTCGCTTTGTCCACTAGGTATGTGAAGTATGCTCATTGGCTGGTCTGCCGCGCAGATATGTCGTGGCGTGCGTGCGTTTGCGCGCGCGCGTGCGTGCGTGGAATATGTGCATATGTGTCCGTGCGCGGTGGTCTGCGGCGCTGCTGTGTTATGTCGCGCTGCTCTGCCGTGTTCCTGCGGTCTGCGTGTGTCTGTTACCGCTGTGTGTACGTGTGTGTGTGTGTGCGCGTGCGTGTGCGTGTGTGTGTGTTTGTGTCTGTGTGTGCGTGTGCGTGTGCCTGTGTGCGTGTGCCTATGTGCGTGTGCCTTTGGGCGCGGCTGTGTGAATAGATGTTCTGCGTGTTCTGCCGTGTTCCTGTGTTCTGCCGTGCTCCTATGTATTATGCCATGGTCCTCCCCTGCCGTGCTCCCATGTGTTCCGCCGCGCTCCTGTGTGTTAAAGTTAAAGTTAAAGTTAAAGTTAAAGTTAAAGTTAAAGACGGGCCCTTCAAGGCGGAGCGGCGGGGCCAAAAGGCCAAGAAAAGGACACGCTCTCCCGAGAGGGGCCGCTTAGGGCCGCCCTGGGCCTTCGCCGCGCGGCGCCACAAGCGAGAGCAGATCTACGCACAGAATGCAACTGCCCGCCTCGCCCTTCACTCCTGGGCCGCGTCATGCAACGCGCACGGCCCAAAAGAACATCGAGGAGCCGCTGACGCTCCTCGGCATCTGGGCAACCTGCACCTCCGAGGCGGGCGCCGAGGGCGCGGGCCTCGGCCTCCCGACTTCGGCCCCTTGGCCGCGCGCGCCACCGCCGCCGCCGAGAAGCCGCCCAGGAACAAAACGAGCACGCCCTCCGAGCTCGAGTGGCCCTCGCCCTCGGCGCAGTCGAGCTGTCCGCGACCAGGGGCGGCCCCATGTCGTCGCTGGCGACGCTGCTGCCGCCCAGGTGCGGCACGACGTCGTCGGCAAACTCGACGGGTCCACGCGTAGACGGCCTCGAAGAGTCAGCATCGCCGGCACCGGCCAAACCGTCCACGCTGGCGCGGCCGCCAGCACCAAGCTCTGCACTCGCACGCCCCAAGACGGGAGGCAGCGGCGCACGGCCTGCAGCACCTCCAGGGACCTTCTGCGCCCCGAGGGCAGCGGCCACGGAGCAGGAAGAAAACACCACTGCGCCACAAGTACACCGCATGCCCTCGAAGTCGCGCAAACAGTATGGCTCGGCCGAAGGTCTCAATGGCGTGCGCCTCCGCAGCGGCAGACTGCCCATGAGCTTCGGCAGCGGCTCAGCCTCGCAGATCTCCGCGTCGATGTCCAGGCCACCTAGCCGAGAGACACACGCGCCGTGGTCGCCCACACTGCGGGCACCCTTCTCCTGCGACCCCAGGCGTTGACCCCTCTGGGCCTTCCTGAGGGGCGCTGCCGCAGCGGAGGCGATCGGCAGCACCCCGTCGGCCTCGGCATGGGGCGCCACGTTGCGCCGTAGCCGCTCCAACCAGGTCGGCCCCCCCCACCCCCCCCCGCGCAAGCGCAGCCAGTGCCGGGAGCGCCGCCTGGGCCCGATCCGCCAGCCCAGGCGCGCCGACGAGCAAGTCGAGGGCGGCCCCCACCGCGCGCAGGCGGGTCTGGGCCTCGCCAGCAGCCCCCAGGGCACGCCGCACGGCCGCATCAGCAGTCGCTCGGGCGCGCCGCGCCGCCTCGCCTCGCTCGCGCCACGAGCGGGGGAGCCGCAGAGGGCCCCCTCCCGTGACCACCCCTCGCCCAAGCAAGCTTGAAGCGAGCTGGCTTGAGCCAAAATGGCTACGGATGTGCTCCTGTGTGTTCTGCCGTGCTCCTACGTGTTCTGCCGTGCTGCTGCTTGTTATGCCGTGCACCTGTGTGTTTTGTGTGATCTGCCGCGCTCCTGTGTGTTCTGGCATGCTCCTGAATGTGCTGCCGTGCTCCTAGGTACTCTGTGTGTTATGCCGTGCTCCTCGTGGTCCTGCGTGTTCTGCCGTGCTCCTATGTGTTCTGCCGTGCTTCTGCGTGCTCTGCCGTCAATTCTGCCGTGCACCTATGTGTTCTGCCGTGCTCCTACGCGTGTTAAAGTTAAAATTAAAGACGGGACCTTCAAGGCGGAGTGGCGGGGCCAAATGGCCAAGAAAAGGACGCGCTCACCCGAGGGGTCGCCTGGGGCCGCCCCTCGCCGCGGGGGCCGCGCTGGGCCTTCACCGCGCCGCCTCTCGCCCTCCCAGCGGGGCGGTCTTGGGCCGCCGCCCACAGTGAACTCGACTGCGACTGCACACAGGAGTCTTCACTCACAGGCAATGCAGCGCTACACACGGAATGCAACTGCTTGCCTCATTCACCGCGGGGCCCCCCCACGCCCCTCGGCATCTGGACGGCCTGCAAGCGGCCCTCGAGGATACGCTCACGCTCCTCGGCATCTGGCCAGCCTACACTACCTGGCCTGACGTCAATGAAGCGGGCCTCGGCCGAGCTCAGGAGAGACTCAACTCCCGACTTGGGCCCAATGGCCACGCGCATCATCGCCGCCACCGTGAAATCGTCCAGGAAGTAGAACAAGCTCTCGCTGAACGCGTGGCGGGAGGCCATCTTCGTCTCCCTCTGCTCGCACAGAGCCTCCAGCGCATTCAGCGGCCTCGAGAGCACCTCCCGCTCGCCCATGGGTTCGGCGCCCTCCGCCAGCGTGCCACGCTGCTCGGACAGCGCCGCCAGGTCGCCCTTCTGCGAGACCAGCTGCTCCGAGGTCGCCTCCAGCGCGCACGGCCGCTGCGAGGGCGCCCCCAACTCGCACTTGGCCTCGGCGCTCTCCTCGGGCGCGCCCTGTCGTACGGACGGCGCCGCCAGGTCGCCCTTCAGCTCGACCGCGGGCTCGGCGCCCTCCACCAGCGCGCCCAGCCGCCCCCGCGAGCGCCTCCAGCTCGACCGTGGGCTCGCTCTTCTCGTCGACGCCGCCGTCATCGCCATCGAGGGTCGCCCCCTCGATCCCGTCGCCGACCTCCTCGGAGACGCCCGCGATGACGCCCTCCGCGAGCTTCGCCTCGACGTCGGCATCCTGCAAGAGGGGCCGAGCCACAGGCCGCCGACGGCCCGTCGGCGGCGCGGCCGCGCGGCGCTCACGTCTGCTGCCCAGCCTCCGCCTGCTGCCGCCGTGCCTGCCTACGCCCTGCCGCTGCCTGCGGTTGAGCGGCGGCAGCTCCGCCCGCCCGACGGCGGCGGCTGGCGCGGCCGCGCAGTGCAGGCCCGTGTTGCGCCGCGCTCGGCACTAGGCACGCACGGCCGCCCCTGCGCCGTCGGGCTCTCCAGCCAGGACGCCCTCCAGGATCGGCGCGGCGAGCGCCATCCTGGTCGCGAGCTCGCCCGCGAGCGCCGCGTCAGGCTCCGGGATTGCGCCCGCCAGCTCCGCGAGGCGCGCCGCCTGGGCCGCCGCCGCCACGTGCCGAGCCCCCCCAGCAGCGGCGCGGGCCTGCACGGCGACGATGGTGGCCTCGAGCTCCGTGGCGCGGCGCAGGGCGGCAGCAGGCCTCCCGCTAGCCGCCTGCTGCGCAGCCGCACGCCGCGCCCTCCGCGCAGGCCAGAGAGAACCCCCGGCTGCGCGCCCAGGCCGCTCCGCCGCCTCGCAGGCGGCCATGCAGCCGACCGTCGCCCTCCGCGCCCAGAAGCGCCTCCTGCGCGCCGAGCCCGCGCCCGCGCGCGCCCGAGGAGCAGCTCGTGAGCCAAAATGGCTACGGACGTGCTCCTATGTGTGCTGCCGTGCTCCTGTGTGTTCTGCCGCGTTCCTGTGTGTTCTGCGTGTTCTGCCGTGCTTCTGTGTGTTCTGCCATACTCCTATGTATTATGCGTGTTCTGCCGTGCTCCGATGTGTTCTGCCGTGCTCCAACGTTCTGCCGTGCTCCTGTTTAATCTGTCGTGCTCCCGTGTGTTCTCCGGGTTAAAATTAAACTTAAAGACGGGGCCTTCAAGGCAAGTGGTGGCCAGAAACGCAGACAGGGCCAGACGAGGCCCGCGTTCCCGAAAGAAGCCGAGTCCTGAGACACGCCCTCCCAAGAGGGGCCACCTAGGGCCGCCTCGCGACACGGGCCAGGGAAGGCGGACGGCAAAGCCACTGGCTCTGGCCCCCAACCTGCCCCCGCCAATCACGCAAGCGCTGCGAGAACAGAAGCTACGCATGAGCACAACCGAACTCGACTGCATTGCAAATACACCACGTGCACTTTCAAATACAGGAGACATAACCCACTGAAAAACCACAGCCCCCCACCTCCAATGGGGAACAGACGTGCAAGGCGAACCGTCACTCAGAAGGCATTCCGAACACGCAAGGAAAAAACGTCTCACGAGGAGCACTAACCACGCTGCTCCAACCACTCCTCGGATCCAAGCCTGGAGGCAGCGGCGCCCCGCCTGCAGTACCTCCAGCGCTCGCTCCTTCATCCGAGGGCGCCTGCACCGTCGCGGCATCCGCTGCGAGCCAAGCGCGGGCGACGGCCGCCCTCGCGCGCCACCAGTCACGAGCCGCGACCTCGCCACGAGCCCTGGCGCCGCCGCCCCCACGGAAGAGGGCCTGCGGGAAGGCGTCGAGGTACACGGCGGCGGCGGCAGCAACATGTCCAGCAGGTTCGGCAGCTGGCGGCCCCCCAACCGAGCAAGCGGTGGCCACGTCGGCCTCGCCGTCGAGGATCACGCCGTCGGAGTCGGAGCACTCGCCAGCAGCGCGCGGCGGCGCCGCCATAGCGCCCGCGGCCTGCACGAAGTCCACCGCGCAGTCACCCTCCGACACCCCAGGGAAGAGAGGGGAAGGCACGTAGCAATCGCCGATGCGGGCGCCACGCCCAACGCGGGCGCGCCCAGCCAGCTCGAACTCCATGTTAAGCTGCTGCTGCGCCTCGTCGCACTCATCGACGTCGGTCTGGGCCTGCATCACCTGGGTACCGCCGCCGCCGGCAACGGGGTCAACCCCGGCTGGGGCGAAGGGCCCCGCAGCCGACCGCAACGCCGTGCGCCGGGCCACAACTCGGCCAAGCTGCGGCAGCGCCTCCGCCTCGCAAATCTCCACGTGGCACTCGAACTTGCGCTCTCGCCTCGCCTCCAGCCTGGCGGACCGCTGGAACCGCCGCAGGGTGAGGCCACACGCCGACGCAACCGTGACCCCAGGGGCGTCGGCGTGGAGAGCCACATTCCTCCGCACTGCATCCTCCTGCTCGGGGGCCACTCCCCGCAGCAAGGCCGTCAGCGCGAGCACGATCGCCTCCAGGCGGGCGGCCAGTTCGGCGTCGCCCACGTAGGACGCGAAGCACCGCCGAACGGCCTCCAGCTCGCTGCGCAGGGCCGCTGCCTCCGCGAGTGCCGCCTTCACTCCGTTGTCCGCTGCCTCGAGCGCCCGCCTCCGAGCCGCAGAACGCTCCGCGCGCGTCCGCCGCGGCTCGCCGAGGTAAGCGCGTGCAGCACCAGGAACACTGTCCAGCGTCCCCGCCCGCGCCATCATGCCCAAGCGCCCGCCGCCGAGCGCCGAGCCAGGCTTGAGCCAAAATGGTTACGGATGTGTTCTTTGGGTTATGCCGTGCTCTTGTGTGTTCTGCCGTGCTCCAGCGTTCTGCTGTGCTCCTGTTTAATATGTCGTGCTCCCGTGGGTTCTTTGGGTTCTGCCGTGCTCCTGTGTGTTCTGCCGTGCTCCTGTGTGTTCTGCCGTGTTCCTGTGTGTTCTGCTGTGCTCTCGCACTTTCTGCCGTGCTTCTGCATGTTGGGCTGTCGTGATCCTGCCCATGTTCTGAAGATGGCTCAGGCGAAAAGCTCAGTTTTAACACGCATGGTCTCAATCATCCTTTTCAGCATCTCATGTGTTCGAGGATGTCTCAGGCGATATCCCCATGTTCATACGTTTGTTAAATTCACGGTCTTCATTTTCTGGTGGATGCCTCAGGAAAAATGCTTGCATTTGTGAAAGCCAGAATTTCGAACAACTCATTGTGGTGAGGATATCTCGAGCGAAATGCTAAATTTGAGGGATCTCGAGGGTGCTCTGGGGGTCATATTGGGCCTCGTTTGGGACTCGGTTGGGGCTGCCCCGATGCCGTCAAAAACATGCAATTGCGATGTCACACACATCCCTTGTTCGAGGATGTCCCTAGCGAAATCGTCATTTTTAGAAGCCTGGCTTGGGCCGTCTGGAAGCCGTTTCAAGAGCGTTCCCAAGACGATGTTAGAACAACAGTTGTTCAAAACGATGTTGTTGTATGTTTTCATGTTGGGGGGATGTCCCTAGCGTAACGAAATCGTCATTTTCGGCAGTCACCAGGGCGCTGTTGGAGCCATATTGAAGTCTTTTCGGGGCTCTCATTTCTTCCTCTTGAAGAACTTCAAGAAGGATGTCAAGAGGATGTTGAGAACATGTCAATGTTGTTGAGGATGTCTTCAACGAAATGCAACATTTCAGCCGTGCTCTACTTTCTGGTCCGCCATGCTGCCAGGCATTTTCTGAGGATGTCCCCAGCGAAAACGCCGTTTTCAACATGAGCGGCAATAAAACACCTCCGTCGACATCTCATTGTTGTGAGGAGGTCTCAGGCGAAGCGTTAATTCTTACAGATGAATGAATTTCGTGGCGATCAGCTGTTCGAGGATGTTTCGAGCGAAACGCTTGTCTTTATGAAACGCGATGTCGCGGAGATGCCAATGTTGTCCGGATGTCTCAGGCGAAGTCGCTATTTTGAGGACTCTGCTAACCCTCAACCCCGTGCAGCGCGCCACCCTCTATTAGCAAGAATTTGATTACATATGATGAAGATTCAGCCACAAAGTCCAGCTCGCTTCTCGTACCTCGAAGACGCTTCCCGTCAGGAAGCCCCTCCCTTTGATCCCTTCCCCGCGGGGGGCGGGGGAAAAGGGTCGCGCGGGAGTTCCGGGGGGGCCCGGGGGTTGTGACCCCGGGGGGAAGCACCCCTCCTTGGGAGAACCCTTCCCCTTCGATTCCTTGCGTTCAAACGCTTGGGGCTCCCCCTTCGGGGTCGGCGGCACCTGCCGTAAGGCCTTCAGAATCATTGATTTTACATAGATTTTCGACCCATTTTGGCCTCCTTGGGGGGAGTCATAATTGGACCTCCGCCTCCAAGATGGCCTCAAGATGGCCCCCAAGGCCCCCAGGAGTGCCCCAAAAGTGCCCCAAGAGGCGCCCAGGAGGCCCCAAGTGGCCCCCAAGAGGCCCCCAAGAGGCTCCCTCGAGACCCCCAAAGAGGCCCCAAGTCCCCGAGGCACCCAAGACTCTCCAAGAGGCCTCCAGGACCGCCAGGAGCCCACAAGGCCGCCCCAGGAGTACTCTAAGAAGCCCTCAAGTTCCTTCCCCCTCTTGAGGTATGACGGCTTCCCCAGCACTTGATTCCACTGCGTGCTTCTCCACATCCCTCATCAGGGCAACTGGGCATCGTCTCTGGATGGGCTGGTGGGGTTACTTTTTTGGTCGCGGCCGCAAGCGAAAGCGCATGAGGCATCCGGAAAGGTCGGGCGGGCTACGCGCGAGCCTAATTATACAGCGACCGAGCGCGGGATCAGAACCTACCGTCGAGTGGGCAGCTGGCTGAAGCTGAGCTGGGGCACCAGGGGTGGGACTGCAAGCGGCCAGGGCTGCATGCTGCACACGTGCGAGACCCAGATGGAGCATCAGGGTGAATTGAATAAGAAGCGGACTAGCGTCAAGCGTCTAGAAAATGAAGAGCGGACCATCTTGACGCGGCCATGATATCCATCCACCCCTACAATTAGCGGGCGCGCGCGGGTGTGCGTGTCAGTGCGCATGAGGGCGCGAGGAGGGTGGAGTCTGGAGCAAGAACAGGAGAGAAATGATGATGAATCGCGGTAGGAGGGAGGAACCATTTCTCCCAATTAATCCCCAATTCGTTGGAATCTCACTAACAATGAGACTCCGCTTCCTGTAACCCTCGCCCCACTCTTGGACGACCCCGGTTCTGTGGGGCGTCTGGTTGCCTGCGAAGGCCTCCGAAGACCTTCGGAGACTTCTGCAAAGACCTCTGGAGACCTCTGCAAAAACCTCCCGATCAGAGTTATTGGCGTTCTGTTCTTGCTGTCTCTGGCACTATGCAGGATGCGAGGGAGGAGAGGAGGGAGGGAGGGGGGCGAGGGGGAGGAAGTTGTCATCCCAGCCTTCGAACTGTCTCAAATGCGCTAATTAGCCCACATGGAACCAACGCCCAACTGAACACATCCCACCCCGTCCCATCTCCCCTCCCTGCCACTCGCCCCTCCACCCCCCTTCCCCCCACACCCTCCAGGTAAGTCCTGTCCCGTCACCTGCCCGCTCCTCCCCCCGCTCCAACTATCTGTCCTGCGTCTCTCTCTCTCTCTCTCTCCCTCCCTCCCTCCGATCCTCCTACCCCATCCTCCGCATGTCCCTCCGACTCTTCCTCCAGACCCTTCCGGCTCCTCCTCCTCCTCCTGCCCCTGCTCCTCCATTTCCTGAAAAGGACAAGCGTAGGCACAAACACAACCACAAACAAAGACACAAACGCAAACACCAACAGACCTGGCAGAATTCGATCAACTTGCGATGAGGGAGGCGACGGTCCCCAGCAGTCGAGGCAACAGCAAAAAATGCATAAGCATAATTTCTCTGAGCTCCGCGCGAGCTTCTTCGATCGGCGCTAGACCCACCTCCCTGACGCGCGGAGCGCGCCAGGGGGCGGCGCAGGAGGCGCCGCCAGGGGGGGCCACCGCAGGAGCTCCGAAAGTGAACGTTTAACAATGTCATGTTTTCTTTGCCGACCTCTCTTCACTTCATTCTTCGTGGCAACGCCACAGCCGTTGAAACAGTGAGGCAATTCCAGCCCAAGGGCAAGACTGGAACACCAAAATTCACTCGATACCGCCTCTTGCCGGTCCCCTCGCCCTGCGACTCAACTCGGGGGCGACGATGGGGGCGAATAGCCGAAGGAAGGGCGATACATGTATCCAAGGGCGCCGATGGCCCATGCCTTCGGCGAGGCTCGAGGGCCAATACGTGTAAGGCCCACCCCTGGGCTATTCGCCCCCATCGTCGCAACTGTCACCCTTTTCCCTCTCCGAGTCTGCCTCCTCCCCGACCCGCGTCCCGCCCGGACGCCCTGCTTCTGTTGCCGGTGGCATTCGCAAGGCCCTGCCCAAGGGAGCCAGCAGGCCATCCCGTGTAGGCTCCGCGCGCCCCTCCTCCCTCCCCCTTGGAGAAGAAGCCAGGACAGGGACAAAATCGGACAGCGATAAATCTGGGATTTCTGAGATCTGGCAATCTGCCTCCTCCTCCCCCTCCCCCCTCGCCCCCCTCCCCTCCTCTCCCCTCCCCCCTCTGCGCAGTGGCACAAAGCTTGCCCACTCGTGTTGCACGTCCTTCACATCATGCATGCAGGTCGCGCTGCTTTTATCTTCCAGAAACGAGCCCTGCCCATTCACGGGCCAACCTTTTGGTTTGACTGGGCCTCTGCCTCTGCCTGGCGGTTCTGGGGGATGTAACAGGTGCCGCGGCCTTCTCGGAGCGGTCCGGAACGCTGTCAGAGCGTTTCGGAACATTCTGTAACGATTCATCTCTGTCCTGGCCCCGCCCAATGTGTAAGCTCCGAGCGGCACCACCCTTCTGGCTGCCTCCAGAGAGGGAAAGGGAGGCAACGAGTATGAACAACATCAGCATCCCGAAGAGAGAAGAGGACGAAGAAACGACGGTTAAAGGGGAGGATAATAACACAGTTAAGACAAGAGTGCAACTACATTAATCAACAGGAGTGGGCTGACGGAACACCCAATTTCAATTGACTGGCCCTGGCCAGCCCTAACCAGACAGACAAACATAGGTTAACCGACACTCAGTTGCCGGGCAACGCAACATGCGTCAAAACAAAAGCGCGCCGAGACCACTTGGGAAAAGAGCACGGCGAACAACCTCATGACAAACAAATACTATACGTGGTGCACTAGATCGTGCCGTCGTTCCCTGCGCGTCCCGACTGACACCTGCAAACTGAAGGCGGTGCGAGCCTCGCCGCGAAGTCCTTTTGGGTCCTCCATCAATATCCAGGCTGATAAATGCCTCGCGGCACACAAGATGCAACACGATGGTTGAATGGGAGGAAGGGGGGAGGCGGGGCGACGAGGTCGAGGACGCGGATAGGGGAAAACCAGAACAACGAACATGTACTCTTCGCAAACGGGGCTTTTTCAACACCTGCTGTTTCAAGCTCGCCTGGCGCAGTAATGTCGGAGCTGGGCAACATCCCTTTCTAGCCAACCGCACTTTAGTAACAACGTCCCGAAACCAGACCCGACGGGCGACGACCCGTACAAACATGCGGCCGCCCAACCCTTTCAACAATCTAAAAAAGGAAAGCAACTCGCCAGTCGACCTGGCATTGTAGGAAGCCTATCAATCTACGACTATGGAGCCGGAGGCCCCCATCAGTAGAAAGACGGCCCCACCTGCATAGGAATAATTTCCTGGAGGTCCGCGTG